TTAACTTACCAAAAATGTCAAGTTATTGCACCTTTTAAATCTCAATAGATCTATTTGTAGAAATTATACCAAAATCAGCAATTTCCTTGTTCTCATCTTCCCTCAATCACTCCTCCAATGAGTTTGGGCAGAAGTACCCCTGTGTCCAGGTGGCTGTGGGAGGCCCTGTAATTGGGTGTAATCAGATCCCAGAGGAGCTTTTCTGATGAGGCTGAGATTCTTTTGACAGGAACTTTTGAGAAGTAGAGTCGATGTAATGAAGTCCAGAATTTTCCAGACTCCTCTTAATATATCCATCATGTCCAGCCACATCATTGACATGTTGATTCTCTTGTTTCTGATTTCAGCTGTCAGAGTCAGTAAAATTGCCCCGGCAGCTTTAGCATATGTGGCAGAACACTGACAAGATGTTACTTACACCTAATTAAGGCTGAGAGCATCATAACGGTCCCGGCATGCTAGCAACCTGATTTCCTCTGGTTTCGAGTTTTCTGGATCTTGACCTCAGCACTTTGAAAGTCAGGAGAATTTGATACAGGGACGTTTAGAAATATTGCCATCGCCACACTTTGACTTTTATATCAAAATGGAAAACAGCAGAACAAAGAGAATTTGACAAAAGAGATGGAAACATCACACCTAGAGGGTCAGAATGGGATAGCTGACCTGATAAGAATGACTGGATGGACTAGATGACCTTTGGCTCTCTCCTGCTGTTTTTACTTTGTCTCTGTGAATGGGGGTAAATCCAGCAGGACAGGTAGTAGATGGATAGTAAGAAAAATCACACGCAGGAAAGGGAAAGAGGAAATGAATACTGGGCTTAGCACAATGACTGAATGTGACAGTGCTAAGCTTAATAACAAGCAATTGTTTCGAACAATCATTATTAAAAAGGCTGTGGGATATACTCCAGGGAAAAGAAAACATCCCCAGTGCTTGAGTCATTTAAAAGACATTTAGATGGAACCCTCCGCAGTGGCGCAGGCTGGAATTGCTCTTTTGTGGCCTGGGCTGGGGACTGGTGCCCGCCCCGTTCTGACTCTTCAGCCTCTACCTTTGTCCCCTGCTGACGTAAGGCTGCTGTGATGGACAAGCCGTTCCCTCACATGGCAGAGTGAGGTTACCGAAAGCCCCAGGATGTAGAACAGTCTGACCTCTCCTCCACCCCCTCTCCCAGCCCCCTGTAAGAATTTACAAATCCAGTTAAGGGTGAAATTTTGCCATTTCCTCTGTGGAACACAGAGGTTTTATGCGATGACAAGTGAATGGATTTCTTCTCTGCTGAAGTCTCCAATTCTCATACAGTTGCCAGAGGCAGAAAAAAAAAATCAGCACTTTGGCAGCAATAAACAGCCTTTTGCTTTCAAAAATGCTTCCAGGTTTTTTTTTCTTCTCCTCTCTCTTTTAAAAAATTTCTTCTTTTATGTATGTGTGCATGTAGGAGGGAGAGTGATATTTAGTTTCCTTTTGCTTGGTAGGAGATAAGGGAACATTTGAGATGAAATCACAAATTGTCCAGCTCCTTGTCGGATGGATCAGTGAGGTTTCTCTTCTCTTTCCTCTTTGCGAACTCCAGGGTCTCGTGAATTCCTTGGCAGGGGCCTGTTCTTCTCTCGTAGAGGGTTAGTTACAAAACACATTCATAATGTTCCTGGCTAAATGTCCCAGCCAGGAGTCAAGAAGAACTCAATTTCCTGGCCTGACTTTTTTGGACTCTGACCACTCCAGGTGTTGGGACTGCTCAGGAAATAAGAGGCAGAACATGTGTGCATGTTTTTAAAAAAAGCACAGAGCGCTTGCTGGGGACCCAGATGCGTAGCTGGGCTATTGGCCTGCAGCACAAAGTAGATCCTGAAAGAAAAAGGAAAGAAAAAAGAAAGTTAATAATTATCGTAAAAACAAGATGGAAAGTTTCAGGGATTTATGTGATTTGATAGGATAGGCTATTTCTGAGCTTCCTGTGAAGCCAGGCAACATCTCCCCTGGGCGATGCATGGATGGGTTATTTCAGCATTGGGAAGTTGGGGAGGAGGTTTAATCAAAGGGCTCAATGTTTTGTTGACTTCTTCATGAGAAAAAAGATGAAAAAAAAATCAGGTTCATTTGAATACTTAGCAGACTTAATAAGTTTAACAAGAAAACGGTTTTACCTTGCTAACAGCCAGGCTCAAACTAGTACCCCTGAGGAACTGACTGTTATCCACTGGAGAATCCTGTGGTTTAAAGTCTTCTTCCTTTCCTTACCTCAAACTGGAACAGAAGAGCATATCAAACACAAGTGCCTTGCCTAAGCTGTCCATATAGGACAAACCTCTGGCTTTTCTGATTGGCACAATCTCCTAGTCTTGCTGGGAAGGCTGAACATCAGGTCATCGTAGAAATTTTGAACTGGAAGGACTGCAGGGTTTATCTTGTCCACCATCACACTCCTAACCACCACCATTTAAGGGATTAGGAAACGGAGACCCAGAGGAATTACATGACTGGCTGAAGGTTCACAGGTGATTAGTAGCATAATTAAATTCCGTGACCAGAGGATAATCCTCTTTATTCCTTGCAGAGTTCCTTCCCCTTTACCAACATTTCTTGAAGTATGCATTGTGGAAGAATGCCAATTCTATATAGTATGTTAATACATTTTATGCAAAGCAGCTGTGGGTAGGGAGGAGAGAGAGAGAAAGAGAAAGAGCGATCTTTGAGAATCTTGATTAAAGAACTTTAGAAAATGTTGGATTATGCTAAGTTAAACAGGTTTGTTTACAGTGATATTTCTCTCTTATAATTTGATAACTCTTTTTGGTTGCAGCATCTCAAAAATGACTACTTCTGTAGAACACACTTAGGGTAATATTTCCTGGCATTCAATTCAGCCCTTTTTCTGACTAGTTGAGTTAGCAAGTTTGTGTGCTTTCACTCATCTTGGCCTATAACTTTTCATTTGTCAACTACCAGGAAAAATGTTTTATTTTGGAATGAATATGAACCCTGCTTCCAACCTCAGTCCTGGCACATCTATTCGTACCTCCCCAAATCAACCATTAACCTCTCTAGGCCTTAGTTGTTTCATGTGGAAGATCATGATTTGAATTCCATGATCCATAAGGTCCCTTTGATTAATTTACTGTTTCTGAGTTTGAAACGCGGTTGTTTTCTGTCTGAGCCTGGAGGAAACATGAAGGTAGAGGAGATATGCCCAGTCTCCCACTCAGGAGGTTGATCTTAAGCTCTCAGGTTCTAAGGGATTTTTGTATGGAAAGATTGTTCTCAGCAGTAAACAGCCCAGAAAAAATATCCTAATGCAAGTATGAGAATAATTCATAATGGATAGCCTGGAATCCTAAAATTCAGAGTTTCAGGTAAAAATTTCTAAAACATTAATTAGAAAGAAAAAGTATATCTTAAGTGTTTGTATTTCAGAGACAGCAAAGGCACTTTGAATTCTGGACTGAAGTCTACGTGGGAGCTTCCCTTCACCACTGCATTTCCCTCTATTGCTGGTTCTAATGTGCACATGCAGTGTGCTCTTGGTACCTGGGCTGAAATTCATTTTTTTTTTTTTTTTTTTGAGACAGGAAATGATTTAATTTCAACAAAATAATAGGTTGCCCAAGCTGGAGTTCAGTGGCACAGTTATGAACATAATGATACATACTGATGTATTGAATACTGGTTAAATACATAGACCTTTCTTTTTTTTTTTTTTTTTGAGACAGAGTCTCGCTCTCTCATCCAGACTGCAGTGCAGTGGCATGATCTCAGCTCACTGCAACCTCCATCTTCTGGGTCCAAGCAATTCTCATGCCTCAACCTCCCAAGTAGCTGAAATTAAGGTGCATGCCACTATGCCTGGCTAATTTTTGTATTTTAGTAGAGAGGGGGTTTCATCATGTTGGCCAGGCTGGTCTCGAACTCCTGACCTCAAGTGATCCTCCCACCTTCGCCTCCCAAAGTGTTGGAGCTACAGGTATGAGCCACTGTGCCCAGCCTGAAATTCTCAAGAGTGGCTGAAAAATATAAAGTATAATCTCAGTCCATTTTAGCAGAATATATGATTGCTTCCTGTAAGTAGGGTTGAAAGGGGTATTTATAGAAAAAATCAACAACAAAATCGAATGCTTGTCTGTGGAAAATTCCCATTAAAACTGATAGGCGTTCCTCTCAGGTACTAAGATTCCTCAGGTACCTGCCTGAGGTCCTGGGGCATCCAGGTAATCATAGATCATAATTTCTCCTCACCAGTTTGCATGTTGCATTTAGGTATTCTCCAAGAAGAGGGGTCCTTTTAAAGAATGAGTACCAAGCATCCACTCTAAAAGGAAGATGGAGAAAACCAGTGGAAGGCCTTCCTGTTGGGTATCATGTGGATTTGCCCTTGACTCTTGGGTTCACTCAGAGTCCTCTAGTGTCCCGTTTCCAGCTGAGCTGTGCATGCACCCTGGGGATTCAGTGGAAGAGGTGACATCTGCTGACCCTCAGTCATTAATCAAGCTGCCTGCGCAGAACCATTTCCCAGGCAGGGCTGCAGCTCTTGGGAGCTGCTGAATCAAATGGCGAAAGGCAAGAGCTTATGCCCTGTCCCTGAGTTCTTGAGAGGAATTAGATGATGGAGATGGGAGGGAGTTGATGGTAGATATGAGAGTAAAGAAAAGGGACTTGGGGGAAGCTGAATTGAGGGGATACGGCTGTCCTTTTAATTGTGGGAATTTTGGGGTACACATTCATCCTTCATACTGACTGATCAAACTACAATCCATTGACTTCAATACTGTGTTCGGTTGAAAAGGGCTTACCAGAAGACCTGTACCTTCAGCCTGAGGCTGCCTTGTGACATAGGGTGCCATCTTCCTCCTCCTTAACTCTAGAGGCAGCTTGCCCTTGGCTGTTTTCTGAAGGGGACCTTTGAATCCCAAGGGTGGAGGGTGTGGCCTTTGAGTTGTAACTACCAAGTAGCAACTCGTTACTTGGTAGCAATTTGCTGCCAAACACCTGTCTTGCTTCCAGGATCAATCTGAATCCAGCAGTGCTGAGAAAACCCAAGAGCTACATGGCTGACATTTCCCATCAGAGAGCCAACAGGTCAGGTAGAAAAGCCGGGTCCCTCCATTCCTGATGTTCCCATCTTTAGGGAACATTCTCATCATCCTGCAACTGGTAACAATTTTCTAAAATTAGACTTTTTCTGTTTCATTCTCTCCCCTCTCAGGGCCCCTGGCTTTGCCTTCCCGCCCACCAGCCCTGGTTAATGGAGCTTTTGTTCTGCCTGATGCTGCCTTGCTAATCAGAGTGTATCATATGGGAGCTATCAGGAGAGTGGGGCCTGCTTCAAGAAGGAACACAGGTAATCTATGAGTAAGCCTTCGTGGTTCGGTGACAGAATGACATCCTAAAGAGGGTGGATGGGGTCTATGGACGTACGACACTAAGAATAGAAACCTGTTAGCTCTCACTCAAGGGTTTTCAGTTTTCAGTTTTCGTTAACCATGACTTCCTACACCTCTCTAATATGGAAATGTTTGTGAGTTTTTCCAGCTTCCCAGATCCCTTCCTGCTTTGAAGTGAGCTGTCATTTTCTAGATTGTTGTTGCCTGGGAAACTGTGGCCCAGTTTTGGCCTCAGAAGGCATTTTAGTGGGCTTGAAAGACTTTCCAATTGCTACCCTTCCAGTAGGGGTCATTGCTCACAAAGCCATCTCCCCCTAAACAGCTCCATTTCAGCACAAAAAGTAAATGGAGCAGGAGGCTGTGTTTACAGGTTGGGGCAGGTTTGCATCAAATACATTTCTGAAAAATACCTTGAAGTTCAGTGTTTTGTTGTAATTTCCTAAAGGAAAGAAAAGCTATCATTCATTCATTCATTTATTCATGTATTCAATACACGCTAATTAACATTGTCCTAGGTGCTGGTAACACATGAACAATATGAACAAACTCTCCAAGTTCCTTCTGACTCTCAGGAGAGTCAGACAATAAAAATACCCAGACAAATAAACAAGATGATTGCTTTTATGATAAGAAGCACTGTTTGAGTGCAGAACACAGTAAACTTGTGTCAGAGTGTTCTTTACTCCCAAATTATGACAAAAATGAGACTTTTGTATTGTGCTTTACAACTAGCAAAACCTTTTCATCTATATCATCCTGTCCTCACAACAACCTCATTGGAGACACAGCGAGTATTATTATCACTTTACAGATGAAGCAATAGAAGCACAAAGAGTTTAAGGGACTTGCACAAAATCACATGTTGATAAACTATAGACCCAGTACTTAAAGCCAGATCTTCTCACTCCAAATTTAGTGCTCTTTTTCCCTACTTTTTCCAAGTCTCCACATCTCCAAGATTATGGGGTTCATGAGAGCTACTTTGATAACAGTCAGGGACTGATGATTGAGCAGAGAGAGGAAGGCGGGTTAGTGGGGAGGCCTGGGGAGCCCTTTAGCCAAGAATGAGTTTTTCACAAGAACAGGAAAGTTCCTTAAGTGGCCTTTGGCTTTGCAGAGGCTCTGCTTCATCTCTTCTTGACGTTGTCCCTGGGAAGAGGGGAGCTGGGGTGGATGCGATGGGGAAGGAAGGGAAGGTTGTCATTTCAATGTTGTCTGTTATTCATCCACATAGCCCCTGGGGCCCTATTTTCAGACTTGTCTGCTTGCCCAGAAAGGGGCAGGCCCAGGATTCACAGAAATTAGAAGCACATACACTTGGCCTGGCCAACGGCAATGATGAGGAGAGATGCATGCCGGTTTAAACCCGTGCCTTCAATGCTCAGGAACAGCATAGCTCTAGGAAGAGCAGGGAACTCTTTTCTGTCTGCTTAAAAGTGAAGGCCTCTAATCAGAATCAGAGCTTCATTGAATTGCAATGAATTTTGGCTACGACAGTCCAACAACATTATTTCACAGACAAAGGACCGAGAGGTAGTGTGACTTGGCCAGAGTCATGCAGTGATTTAGTGAATACCAGAGCTGGGGCAGGGATGCAGCCCTTCTGACTCCTGACGCTTTGTCTCTCCTCCTCATCAGGTTGCCTTTAGAGTTGGCTACAAAACTTAGAGCTTGGTGATGGCTCAGGCACAAAAGAGCTGGCTGTACTTGAGGCTGATTTCCATTCTACCTGTGACTATTACGTTCAAGGTAGTGAACCCTTGAAGCCTCTGGCATCCTGATCCCGTAATTACCGCAGAGAAAAGAGGTAAATCAAGATCTGCTTGGGAAACAGCATCATCATCAGTTCTGGCATGTGCATCTAAGCAAGCCGTGCCTCTCAGGAAGGATCTCACTCTCTGTTGTAACTGTATCATACCTTTTACAAAAAGTCACTTTGAGGTCACTTTTTTTTGTCCAGTATTTCAATACATTAAATGCAATTACTTCATTGTTGATTTACCTGTCATTACAGGCATGTGTTTGAACATGATTTATTGAGTGAGTTTTGTGCCAGTTGACTTGCAATAGATTGCACAATATTCAAAGGGGCTCATTTGCTTGGCATTACATTAGAGGCATGATGATTGCAACACAAAGCAATGTAAATGAATTCTGAGAGGCTCCATCATTCATGTTGTCATGTACTGAATCCTATTATTATTTATTACCATAATTGTACTGTGTTTCCTGGGGCGATAAATTAGGACTGATGGGCCCTACTGACAGTCAAGGGCTGGACTCGCTCTATATAATTTAATAGGGATACTGTAGGGTCTGTGTGTTTGGAGGAGATTTTGGTAGTGGTTAAAAAAAATGAAAGTTTTTTTTTCTTTTTTTTTTTTACAAAAAGTATAAAAACCTTCCAAAGTTTTTTTTTTTTTTTTTTTTTTTTTTTTTTTCCTCTCTCTCTTTAATGCCTTGGCTGCATTTTAAAGTCTTGATAAAAGCTGAGTTATAAGAAAGAAAAGTTCTGTCTTTCAGCACAAGATGGTTAGAGCTCATTGCTTCATGCCATAGTCCTTGCCACATCAAACACTTGTGGGTGGCATTAACTCTCAAACAAACCAGGCATTATCATGCCTAAGGAATCTAGAATCAGCTGCAAACCCAATGGTCAGCATGATGGCAGCCCTAGGAACTTAGCATGTTACCATATTAAGTCTGATGGACCCTTGGGGATCTGATCTGATCTGACAGGCCAATATTTCTGAAGAAATTGAAGGGTCTGTTTTCCTAGAGCAATGGAATAGGAGCATTGCAGATTATAGATACAAAATTGCTGTACAGGATAGAAATGTCTATGCAAATACCAGCAGAATGTATTATTAAAATCACACAATGGGGCTGGGTTCGCTGGCTCACGCCTGTAATCCCAGCAGTTTGGGAGGCCAAGCTGGGCGGATCACTTGCGGTCAGGAGTTTGAGGCCAACCTGGCCAATGTGGTAAAACCCATCTCTACTAAAACTACAAAAATTAGCCAGGCGTGGTGGCACGCGCCTGTGGTCCCAGCTACTTAGGAGGCTGAGGCAGAAGAATCACCTGAACCCAGGAGGTGGAGGCTGCAGTGAGCCGAGATCGCCCCACTGCACTCCGGTCTGGGCGACAGAGTGAGACTCCATCTCAAATAAATAAATAAATCAAATCAAATCACATCATACAATACAAGTGCTGAAAGGGATCTCAGAGATGAGTCACGTCAACCATCTTATTTTACAGATGAGAAAACTGAGACGTAGGGAGGGCACAGCCAACAAGAAAGAAGAGTCGTTAGGAATATGCACTGCACTCTAATTCCAGGAGAACTGTAATCAACAGGCCTTTTGATTTGAGTGATGTCTAAGGAGCATGAGGAGTCATGAAGCAGAGACCTGGCCATTCCACAGGGGGCAGTCAAAAGAAAAGCCCTGAAACATCACTCTTTTGTCCAACTAGAAAGGAGTGTGACTGTTAATAAGGAGAGGGAGTAAGTTGTTAGTCAAGTGGTGTTGACCAAGAATCTTTTGGAATCCCTGTTTTGCATATATTCCGTTGGATCAATTTTATTTCAGAAAATAATCAATTTGTCTTTGGGCCCTGGGTCAGAGGCCAGGGATTTCATAATCCCTGGGGAAATAAACTATTTGACAGTTTACACATGTGCCTTTTGTCCTCTGTCCTTATCTATCACAATTACAAATTTGGGAGCTTAATGTATGCAAAGAAGGGATGTCTGTGGAATGAAACTCGGAAAAGAAGTTGAATTCTGTTTAGGAAGTTAGGATAGAATAGAAACCAAGGAAACCAGGGTCGCGTTAGCCTTATATACATAATCTCCTCAGTAGAGACACTATCTAAGTAGTTTTATTTTCTATTCCTCAAGAGCTTAAAGGAAAGATTTCATCCTACTTGTCTACATTCAGCTGTGTTTATAAGTGCCACTAAATGGTTTTATTCAGATTGATTCAGGCAGGGCCATAAAATCAATGCATTGCCACCTAGTCGATCTGATTGGGTTGTTAAAACAAGTGAACTAATCAGACTACTTCTTAAAAATCAGATCAGATCATCTGTGTGTGATTTGCCTGTCCCCTGGGCAACTGGCATGGTAATCAGAAATCAAGCCCAAATAAACTCAGCCAAATGCTTCATGTAGTTCTGGCCTGAGCTAGCCCCATCTCTATAGGTAAGGGACAAGAAACATCTCCATGTTTGACCAGTTGCATGCACAATCTGAATGCCATCTCATGCACCCCATTGGGTTGGAAATGGCAGTGGACCCTGGGCATGTTCGTGCCTTTCAACAGGTAGCAGAGTCTTTTGTTTTACAGGATTAAGGAGCAGTCTGAGGCAGCAGCAATCAAAACAAAGCAGGTATAAAGCCATTAGGGAGTGGAAAGGAGTGAGCAGTTGCTTCTTATTTCACCCCTGAAATGGGGAGCTGGATTTGCAAGCAGACGCCCCATGCAGAGTGGGCCTCATCACTACTTCCTGGCTTCTCCAGGGCCTCAGTCAAAAGAAAGTCTGCATCTAGCTTCCTTATTGGCTGACAGTCATGATCAAAGGGTTCATGACCAAGAGGAGCCAAGTGATCATACCATTAGCAAAAGGAGTCTCCAACTGGGGCTTTAGGTTCTGATTCATAGTTTTTAAAAGACCCTGGCTTGTGGCCTAAGTGGATACAGTCAGTGTTTCTCCCAAAAAATTGTTCTTGCTGGTGTCCTGGATTTTTGTAGAATTGAGGAAATTAACCAAGTGCTTTTATCTATTTAGATCATGGTTGTGGCCATATTAGTCCATGAGAATAAAATTGCCACCACCAAAACATGGACTGGATAATAGCATTATTAGGAGAAAAAGTCCCAAATTATAAAGTAGTAATATGAATTATAATTTTGACATTAAAACAGAAAACCATTCTGCATTGTTTGTGAGATGACGTACTCGGGTGCAGTTAGATTTCTGTGTGTTTAATAGAGGAAGCCCTGGCCTATCCAGGATTCAAAGGCTCAAAGCCATGTGCTTTGTCTTCAGGCCACTGGCCTGGGATTCACAGTTGCAGCAACTCACCAGACAGGAAAGGTTGACAAAATAAAAAGAAAGCAGTAACTCTGGGTGACTATGAATATATTTAAGAAGGTAAATAAGGCCAGCCATGGTGGCTTAGATCTATAATCCAAGTGCTTTGGGAGGTCCAGGAGGGAGGGTTGCTTGAGGCCAAGAATTCAAGACAGACCTGGACTACTTAGCAATACCCCATCTGTACGAAAAATAAATTTTTAAAAAGAAGGTACATAAGACAATATGGAAGATATTGGGGAAAGTCTACACCTGATAGTCAGTGGCCCGAATCCATCATGATGTGAGTTATTTATGTTCTAGACTGGGATGAATGTACTCAAAATTTACCCCTTTTAACATCTTCTTGTACCATTTTTGATGGCTTGTGAAAACATAATTGAAAATAATTAAAATGTAAACATTCATTGTGTTTAGGAATATTCTTAGCTCCCATTTCCTCCTTCCTCAATCCTTTCCCTCTGGCTAGCGCGCGCACGCGCGCGCGCACACACACACACACACACACACACACAGACACACACACAGAGTAGGAGAGAGAAACTTGATCATACTTGCACACAATTTTAAGTTTAAATCAAGCCAATGGCAGTCAAACGGAGGCCAGGTGTTTTCTCTCAGGTACTAAAATGATACAAAATAAGCGAATTTGCTTCAGGCAACAGGACACCATGGGAGCCCCAAACCTGTGGCATTTCCCTTGGAAACTCCTGTCTTAGAAGTTGCCTGAGCTCCTGGCCACTGCATGAGCTGGTTCCTTTCTTTGCATTCCTGTAAGGCACCTTGCTCCTAAGGTCCAGGCAATGTTTTGATCGGAAGTGCCCCTGTCAGCAAGTCTTACCAGCCAGGCAGAGGATGGTGCTTCCCTTTGTTCCTTGGCCACCACTAGGCAAGCTTACTGAAATGCATCCATGTAGTTTTTTTTGCAGTAGCTGACCTTGTAGATGGTAGCAGTTAAGGGGTCAGAATGCGGTAGGTAAGAGGAGTGGCTGACATGGAAACCCTGTGGTCAGCAGATCACATCTCAGGGCCTTTCCTCTTGGAGGACAAAGCTCTGATGTGGCCAGGAGTCCCAGTGGAGGAGTGGTTGGGCTGAATAAATGAGCTTGTGTTTTGATAGAAACAAGCCTGGTTTAAAGTCATGACTCTGTTCCTTGCTGTGAGATTTAGGGCAAATCAGGGAATCACTGAATATCATCTTTCCTGTTGCAGTGATGAATGAAAGCCCCTGTCATCGTGTAGTTTAATACTGGCGTTGCTCTTGGGAGCCAAGGAGTACTAGACGACTGAATTCTGCTGTGAGGTCTACAGCTCAGGGAGAAGATGAAACAGGTAGACTTGGAAAGAACAATCTTCAGGGGTTAGTAGAAAAGCTGAATTTTGACTCTTTGACATTTTGATGTTCTAGAACATCTCCATCCAGTAGAACTTTCTGTGATGATGGAAGTGTTCTATATCTGCCATTCCTCAACATAGTAGTCACTGGTCACTGGTCACCTGCAGTTACTGAGCCCTTGAATGTGGCCAGTACAATTTGGGAACTAAATTTTTAACTTTATTTCATATTAGCTGGTTTAACTTTAAGGAGCCATGAATGGCTGTATGGCTGGTAGCTGCTGTATTGGACAGCACCGTGCTACCACAGTAGTTCTCAAATCAGGCTGCACATCTGACTTTTTTTTTTTTTTTTTTTTTTGAGACAG